CAAAAAGCGGACCATCATAGGGTTGGTAACTATAAAATGTGGCAGGGGAGAACCAAAACACAGTAAACAAAAAAAAATATCACAAAGGACGAGAACTCGGGTGGCAAGGCGAGACGACCAGAAGGGATGATAGTTGATGGGCGTTGCAAAACGGAGGAACAGACAGAACTCTGAGCGAGCCTGTTCATAGGGAGCATGACGAGAAAGGCCCCGATGCTCTAAGGGAACGTTGGCCGAACTTATGTGGGCCACCGTGGTATAGGAGTCGGGATGTGAGGGTTCGAGAAGAACGTGGGGTGGACTTCAACCGGGACGGGGAGCGCCCCGGAAGCAATGGTTCAACACCCCTCGCTTTGAGCCCTCATGCACACTGCAGACGATAATCAACATTGATAAGTATCATTGTACAGCAGATGATACTAATTGATCGTTTTATTGTTACTGCCGAGGCTGCTTTAGCCTAGTAAGTCAGACTGAACCTAACCCGCGCAGTCCCGAACCCCGGGATTTCTTGACCAAATGCTGGCAACATTCTCTGTCCCTTACCCTCACAATATGCAAGCTTCAGTGGACGTAGAAAATAACAATAGGCTAGGGTTGCTCGTCCTCTCGTAGCGAACCCCATGCAAACCGGTGAGTCATCACTTACAGATATTCGGGTATGAGTACTTTCACAATTACCATCATAGGCATTATAGGTTGGAATAATTGAGTGGACCTGCCTGCGCTCTCCGTTGGATAGTTTTCCTTTAGAGTCCTTGCACGATGATGCGCGAGCGCGAGCATGTTATTAAGAATTAAAAATGCCCTGATATTGGGCCCAGGCCACCTGAGGTCAAATTATTCTAGAGCGTGCAGATGTGTCAGCCGAGGCTGCGAGGGCAAGGATCGGATGGAGTACATGAATCAACAGCCACCCCAGGCTGATGCTGGTGCGTTGAGGATCCTGATGTGTCAACACAATAAGCCTGATTCTGGAATGAAGTCGTCGAGAACCACACCGTTACTGTGGGTGGGAGGTTCTCTTTGGGTTTCCAACTTTCGCTGGCCACAGGTTTCGGTGCAACCAGGCTGGGATGCGGAACGAGGTACTCTTCGAGCCTCATAAATTCGTGGGCTAAGTCGGGACAGGGTCGCCCATACGTTGGCGTTATTCAACGCGATGCAAAGACCTCCACTCTTGGCTCCATATCTCGTGAGTATTAGTGAGGATCTTCACTAAACGCTCGCACGGACACATATCTAGCACTTACACTACGTCGGTCTTTTTGTTACGTTACTTATGTGCAGCTGAGGATGAACGCTTGGTGAAACGATAGAACTAGGAAAGGAAATATCGATTTTTAGTGCGTTCAAAGAAGTGATAACGGAAAATTTGACTCAGTCGATACGGAGTGAAAGTGAATTGAGGAACTATAAAAAGAGCAAAATCAAAAAATCTCTGTGGTCGCAACACTAATTTTGTCTGAACCCAGGACTAAATGACAGTAACAAGGTAGGTAGATTGCCCCCCTCTGATAGTGGATAGAACGAGCGCGCAAGGTAAATACGCAATTGACTACGGACATCTCTAAATGACTTGGCTAAGATCAACAACAATTGGAGCTGTCTGCCAGCCTTGGAAGAGAATTCGAGTCCCATCTTGGCTGGACCGAGGGCTGTACAAAAAGATAGGATCAGACGGCACTCGATCACCATACCAAGCGCCTAGACCTTTGGCATGAGAAGAAACAACTGGTCGATACTCCTTGGGAATAACGAATTCTAATTTTCCATTGAAGAACATTGGTAGCCCAGTGCGTTTTATACCGGTTCCGAACAGTGGGGTTCGTCCTGCAGCGAATGAACGGATGTCAGACTCCCGCCGCAACCCCTCTCCTCCTCCTTCGTGCTTTGTGAGATAACATAAAATGGACACTTGATCCAGGACTCATCCAAGTTATCCACCGCATCTGTTTTGGAACTTTGATGGCTATCTGTCACTCCATGTTTTCCCGAGGAAAGGGTAGGTTGAGGAGATACAGGATCAGGGATGTGGTAAGAGCAGGCAAGGGGAACAGCGGGATTCATAATCCAAAATTTGAAATCCGTCACACAATAACGCGCAATGAGCTCACCCAAATCTGTCGACCAGGTGAAAGCACTGAGCCCATCAAAAGCGCCAATAAAACGTGCTCCCGGAGAAAATCCAAGCGTGCGACGATGAGGAATAGCAGGCTTGTGGCGGTGAATAATGGCAAGAGAGTCGGACTCGGGAGGAGAAGCAAGGAGCTGCATGTGTGGGTCGCCCAAAATGGATATGAGAGTCATGTTGTCGTACCAAGAGTTATCAGTGTCCCGTGGAACCCGTATGATAAATAATCCATTGTCTGATACTCGAGTTACAGCAGGAAGAGGACCATTGGGAAGAGTCCCAAGATTAATGGGGGTCGTATCATGGCTAAGGATGGTGACGTTCCCTTCATTGTCCTCAGCAGCAACCCGGTGGCTGCCGTGGACAAATTCAATCCAGACTGGATGGTTGGGTGGATCGAGCTGGAATCGGGAAATCGTGCACTGATGGTCGATATCGGCAAGCTCGATGACACCACTACCAAAACCGAGAGCTATATGATGACCATCGAGGGAGAGTGCTGCACATGTCACAATACCATTACGAACATCAGAGTCGTTGAATTGGGCATCATAATCAATCTCAACACCCCAACTATCAGCCTCCTCTGACGAATCAGGTAGCTTCGCCTCCATGACCATTCGAGCATGGAGTAAATCCTCACTCAATGGGATTCTGCGCCCGGAAAACTCGCCGGAAATGGTGAAGATCCGGACAGGATCGGAGAGGTGGCCATGCAGTTTGTACAAAGGTGATGAGGATGGGGTGAAAGGAAGGGTCGATCGATGAAGGTGCCATGGTGACCAGGAAGTTACACTATATCCTGGATCCTTCCAGCCGGCATTGTCCCGTTTGGAGGGAATGCATGTGGTCGCGTGATATATGAGTGATGGGGTATGAATGTGGTCAAACGGCGGTAGCACTGCCACCGCGCTTTAGGCTGACCGCATGCAGGCCTTCCGCAGATCCCGCTGTTTGGCTCATTGAAAGTAAAGTAATATGAGATTGCTAGCGAAGCGGGGCAACTCAGTCTCAAGCAAATAATGCGAAAGAGAACTGAGGGAAAAAGTGATTCAAAGAGCGGTAATTCCCATGTAGTTTGGGAGCGGGATAGTCCGAAATGAATACAAAAGAATGAATAAATAGATGTGGCTGGCCGGGCGAGTTCCTCGCTCGGCCGTGGGAATGTGGCTGTACGAAAACTCGCACGGCCGCGCTAGCGCGCTGTTTTCCAACAGAAAGATGTTCCCCACGGCAGATGGCCTGTATCAACTCACATGAGCAGGACTCAGGAGCAATATTGTGCGCACACAGAATATTTTCATCGAATCCCCGACATTCTCAGAATACAAATGTCGGCTTTGATCGTCGCCTACCAAATTTCCCGGGCACCACCTAGAACTTCTACCCAGGGCACTGAACACTCCAGGCAAGTCAAACGGGGAGCTGGGGTGGAAATCGGCTACTGGATGGTTCCGGATGGATGTGGCCCACATAATGGGCAGGGATGGGCAGAATGGCAAATACTTTATTCGTGTTTGTGTCTACAATGTTGCAGTATACAGGGTGTATTGAACGGGGCAGGAGAGGGTGGAAACGGTGGGGATACAGGCAGCTACCTTTATGTTTGTTTAGCTTGATTAATTTGATGGATCGGATGCAATTTTGACCTAGCAGCCGCTAAGACAAGAGAATCACCAGAATGTCCTCCCCCTTGCAGAATGCGTCTTCTAGCACATTTGACGCGTCAATCCTCACCCTTCAGGCCGACTTTCCAGTGGCCTCACCCTTTTGACAACAGCTCCCACTGCCAATGAATTCCTCAGAGCTACAGAGGGTCCATTTGCGGAGTTGAAAGAGCTAGTTATGCAGCATACTTCAATTGCAAACAGACCACGATTTCAACCCCTCGCCCCCCCGGAGAAAATTTTGAAGGAGATTGTGCAGAAGATATGGGGTCATTCATCTGTTCAGACAGTTGATGATATTGGCGAGATTCTAGAGAACGGACACGTCACAGATGATTTGAGCCTCGAAGGTACATTTGTACCTATTGGAATGTTTAAAAACACTTAGAAGCCACTGCACAGTTTTTTTGGAAGCTTGCATCGCAGGCTATGCCAAGAAAAGGGAGAGGTCACCCCAAGAAGTCATGAAACGTTTCCGATTACACAATCCTTCCGAAGCGGGCCAAACGGCCTGGCAGGCATGGCTCAAGCTTCACCGTAAGTCTAGCCGTAATACTTGCAGCCCATATTCGGGACTAATTGTTTCCCAGCTGGAATTGATAGTCAAGAGGCTGCAAGGCTGCGTAAATCACACCAAGAAGCTGTTGAGAAGCACTACCCCGATTGCGCGGCAGAGGCGAATGCATTTTACGAAAAAGTCCTGATACATTGTGGAGACATTGTTTTGTCAAAGGATGAAAGGGATGCTAAACCCAACGAAGGCCTCTATCTGTTGCAGAAGGTAACCGGAAAGTACGCCGCTCAGGTACAGTGGACAGGATTCTAGGGACTACTAGATTTGGTTCAACTAAGGCTTTGCGGTAGCTTGCCGCACTCAGCACCATTCACCCCATTGGTGTGGCTGTAGTGGGATTCATAGCAGACGACACACTTTCCCCTCGAGACTCGACTATCGCTTTTACTAGCTCTCGATGATCGCGGAAATGGTCAAAGCTATGGGCCTACCCTTGCAGAGGATGCCCATTGGCGATGAGAAACTTTACGATGGAATAAAGGCATTCAGGTACGGGTTTATGTTTAGAAGGGTACTGTTGGCTTACTTGTATCCCCTCAGCCCATATCAACCTGAGCCATCAAACAGAGGTATGAGTGACTTCTCCTCGCAGTCTGCACAGGCTGAAATTGCTGCAGAGACTTCCTTCATCATCTTGGAGCATTTAACAACTCCAAAACGTCTACCAGCGAGGTGTTTGGGGCCTCTGGTCTCATGAAGTCCATTGTGACGCAGGCGAAGCAAAGCGTCCATTTCAGTGATGATCTGGACCGATATTTGGGTAACACTACTGCGAAATCAGAGGTTGAGTGTGATGCAGAGGACGTGGATTATCACACACCTTTATTGAAGATGAAGGAAGGCCTGAGCACTATAGACCGGGCATATGGGGCGCATACCGTTCGCCGCACTGATTGTGCTGGGAAGCTCAAAGCCATGATTCGTATGTCCTACTTTTGCAGCACTATCCGCTTTGCTCATTGGTGATGTCTACTTGTAGAGGAGGCGACAGGCATAATGGACCTTGGGCACAACTGGAGAGGCGTCAACATACTTCCGTTCTTGCTTGAACACCGTCTCCGTTTTGCCGGTTTGGCATCGTGGTGTTCGACGCCTAAACAGAGGGCTTCCGTGTGATTGGACCCCACGCGAAACTGCACGGTGCATGTTACAGTTCGATCATGAGGATCCGGTGCAGACCTTAAGGGTGGAACACATGACAGATGGTACGGTGAATGTCAATGAAACTCAAAAGGCATGATGATGGGTATGGGCTTACCAGATGAGTACCTGAAGTGTGAGGTGTTACACTATGCACCGGATGGGAACGGCAACGTCAGTAAATATGCGTTACCTCAAAATGAAGTAAGGAGAGCAGTTGGGAAAACGGCCATCATCCCGGCATCATCCCACAAACGTAAGGGAAGCACCCCAGACCCTACCACTGTGGTCTATGGAACGAGGTTCAATTGGAGATGGCACAATACCCACCCCATCTCCTAAGCGAATCAAAAGGGGGTCTAGAGCCACGCGTACGCGCACCTCAACCAAACGTCCTCGTGCGACACCTAGGGCCAAGAAACAGGCAAGGAAGACTGCCCTACTTGAGTGCGAGGCATCGGGTCCACAGGATGAGGGAACAGTGCCTGAAACACCGCCCAAACACTCGCCTGAACTGAGCACGTCTTCCTCGCCAGTAAAAATGGAGGTGATAGACCTAGCTGGATCTCTGCAGGCCGCACATCAAGCCCCCTGGCATGAATGTGGGCCGGCACTCCCTGACGAACCGGAAAACGACGTCTTCACAGCACAGGCCAGTAAATCGAATATGGAGCCGCCTACGCCAATGGTCATCCCGCCTATTAGGTTAATCCATCCAACGCCGCACAGTACTCCCGTCAAAGTTCAAGAGGCACCAAAGATCATAAATACTGGAAGCGCGCACCTCACTGTGAACGAAGGGACAGTGGCTAGTACTCCTGTTGGGGTTCGAGAGGTGTCAAGGATCATAAATAACGGAGGCACACACCTTGCTGTGAATGGAGGGACAGCGGCTCGTGAACCATCGGAGGCACCGTCTTCAACAACGAGCATGAGTGGCGAGGTTCCTACCTTTGATGCCTTCTTCAAGTGTGCACGCCACTCAGTGTGGCGGAGCGCACGGAGAATCCTTCCAGGCCTTCGTTTGCGGGCGCTAGCGGCGGAAGATGTTGAACTCCTTGTGAGGATTGACATCGTCGCCCAGTATGTTGAGAGGCGGGAGCCACCTCCCAATGTCTTGAACATTGGGCAACACTGGAGAATGGTTCACACTGCTGGACAGGAGCTTTGCGAAAGGGGTGCCGATGGCGGGGGCGTTGCAATGCAGGTGTTACAGTTGCTTGATGAGATCGAGGCTGGCGAGGAGGAAGACATTATCAATATGTGGGCCTACATGTTGCCAGAGTAATAGATTGTATTTTCGAAGTTATTTACAATAAACACGCTGTTATAGAACCCAACCCATGGGCTGAGCAACAGGTAACGGGAGTAGGGCAGCTTGCAGGTTTTAGCGTACATAGGAAACGGCCACAGACGGCCACTGCGTCTACAACTGGAAATGGGAGTGTAATTCTTCCACAGTCGGCCTGTTTGGGGGAGCAGGAGGGCTCTCTGCCACTTTAAGTGCAAAGAGGCCAGTTTTGGGCTGCCAGCGAATAGACTCAAACTCATCTTGAGGCGGGTTTCCTGACCTCTTCAACATCTCCGTTGTTCGAAGTTCGATGCCCTCAAAAAGGTGCCTTGCAGAATCGGCAATGAAACGAACAACACGGGGGTAGATAGAACCTTCCGCAGGGTAGATCCTTTGGCGGAATGCACGCTTGAAGCGGCGAAGGCGACAAAGGATGAGGCAGAAACGAAGGAGACCTAGATATTCCTCTTCACTCAACTCGAGGGGCCTACGCAGGCACATTTTTTCAAGCACATCAGATCTGAACGTCACCTCAATCACGTTGAACAATATGCGTCCTGAGTTGGTTGTCGTCGTCATGATCTGGAAGCGATTGTATTCGAAGAGGTCCTGCGAGTAGATCCGGGCCCAGAGTTTGGCTATCTCACTAGGCATGGTGTCTGGACCTTGAGGGATGAGAGGGGCTGGTGCACGATCCAGGAGAGTCATGACTGTGGTCTTGTCAAACCCACGAGAAAGGGTCTCGCTGATATATCCAAGCTCATAGACACCGGTGTACCCGCTTGGCGTATAGTCCTCCATTTCAATATCTTTGAGAACAGCATCGGGGTATCTTGCTTGGAGGTATCGCTTGAGGCTTTGAGCTCCCTCCTGTGTCTTGCAGAGCAAGTTAAGACAATGAGTCGTACCAGCCCGGCCAACAACTTCCTGGTTCACAGTGCGGTCACGTACTTCTCGATACGCAAGAACGCCCCGCCGCTTGACAGCCTCCAAATCATCGCGCAGCTCCACTGCCGGACCTGACAGCCGTATGGATGTGCCTAGCCACACATCAGGGGTACGATGGCCCTCCTTAGTAGCGCTAGGCGGGACGATACAAGGTATGGATTGAAATGACAGCGGAAGAGGATGATGAGGTTGGTAGTACGAGAAAGGGATTCTGACAAACGCCGCCTTCAGTGGAGCATGGGCGCCGATGGGGAACGGGACTCTCATGGTCTTCCATTTTGTTCCCTCCAAGGCCGCACTAGAATGCAGGCCTTCCTCGTATTTCAAGTCTACCCAGACTCCTTGCAGCACGCTCTTCACCTTGGCAGAGAAGTCCTTGAATGGGATAGGAACCCCCTCAGGGGCAAGCGCTGTGAGACATTGCTCCATCACAAAGAGCTGAGCAGAAAAATCATTTGATGGAGCTGCGAGCAGGGTTTGCTGCGGCGGACGGTGTTGTGGGGACAACTCCGTGTACCGCAAAAAGTCGGATTCTGCGGAATTTGGTCACTAACACGCAGTACATATCCGCTGACGCTCCCGATACTCATTCTATCACTATCCAACACTCCATACACTCACTCCATATTTTTCCTTATTTTCCCCATCATTCCCGACAGCCCCAAGCCAAATTCCCACGCCCAACCACGCCGCCAATTTCACCCCCTCTCCACATCTCAAGAACCACTGCACCAAATGGGATGAATAAGGGCTCGTTGGAAAGCTGGAGACGAGGAGGTTGCTGACGGGAGGATAGGCGGGTGCTGTGGCGAACTGTTGCGGAGTTAATCTTCACAATTCCCATTTCGGACCCGTTGTCACATTTTCCCCATTCACTCATATTTCTTTTATTGTTTCTTTGTTCCCAATTGGATATTCATCATTTACGGTTGCCTAACGGCCCGTTTACATTCCCCCAGTCCATTCATTTCATTTCCAACATATATAAACTAGATAACAGCTTGTACATAACAAGTTAGTATTGAATAGACCCGTGAAGGGACAAGCAGAAGTTGCATCCAAGTGGCAAAGACGCCATCCACGACCCTAACGCCCCCTCTGAGCTAGTTGCTCACGTCTAAGACCCCTCTTATCAGAATCCTCAGCCTTGACGTCCAAGAGAGACGTAGGTGAGTGTTTGTTTGAGGTTTTTGCAGACTCGGTAGCACCCACGGACCAAAACCCGGCCTCACGAACCACACCTGCGCACACTACCACCCTCCCCCTTCTCTCTGTCTCGAGTCTAGGTGATAGACCCGTTACAACGGGGCCACGCAATGATTTCTGTAACAGCAAAGTCAAATCCTATAGTGATGTCTCCCCTTGCAGCGCCTTGCAAATTCTTGGAGTGAGCGCGGCTCCGTATTTCCTGCTGAAGGGCATGTTCTGCTACCGAATCAAGCATGGGCAGACATGATCGAAAGACGGCGAAGCGGTTGTCACCATGTTCCACTCTCCAATGGGGAACTCCCCACCGTTCCAGAGTGAGAGCATATGCCTGGGCAGAGGCACTAAGGTTGGAGTCGTGGACCTCAGTACGGGTGCCGTCTGAACCATCAAAGATGGTCCTGATGGCCTCTTCCTGAAGCGGCCAGGTTGGAAGCTCGTTACCACCCAATATGGCACATGCATCAAGGGAAATAAGGAGGCAGTAGCGAAAATGCCCTCGTAGCTCTCCGATCCGGCGTTCAATCTCGCCAACCGTTTCATGGTGATAAGTCTCGGACTGCGCAATCATTCGGGCTTGGAGAAGCTTCTGAAGATAGGCTTCCGATTCAGGCTTCAGTATCGCCATGGTTTCACGGTGTTTGGGGGGATCTCGGCGGGCAGAGATGAGAGACGGTGCTCTGGACATGGCGAAGAAGTTGACTCAGCACAGACTGCATGCCTATGATCCGTTCCCTCCACTCAGACGTTGGGAGCCAATTCAGATTATCAGCAGAACGTTGCAAGTCAATGTTAAGGATCGGCGCTTCGATATAACGAAATGGGGGGTGGCACTCAATGAGCGTGAGGTGTGGACAAGCGGGTCGAAGCTGACTGGTCTCTGGCAAAAGTCCACGAACTCCCGATACTTCAGAGAAGTGTTTAAGACACTTGTTCTTGCTGGAGGGGTGGCATCAACCTAGGAAGCATATGTTCCATTGTAAGGACAAACATCACGGGTATTTACTGCCACGATGCGGATTGCTGTCTGACGGTAAGCTCGCTTGACAGCGGATTCTGAGGTAACCTTACGTGTTAGACTGGAATGGCCTGATAAATGAAAACGGTATACCACTTATGAGATAGCCCTTCCCTCCATTTTCGAACATGGTCTGCAGCCTCGGGAGTGGGGAAAGGGGCCGAATGGGTAGAGGGGGGGCTCCTGTCAATATCATCATGTAGTGTGAGAATGGCAAATAGAACGCTGTAATATACTGTGCATACCTCGAATAATCATAGCTTCTTTCAGCAAGGACATTGTACCCCCTTCCTGCACCATGATCTGTTCGACTGAGGTGAACGATGCGACATCTGAGGCTGGTGCTCTTGGTCTCGGTGGTGGCTCAAAGGAGGATGGCAGGGGTGGACGAGAGGGTGGGAATCCTGACGTGTATTGGGAGAAAGGGGCTGAGGTATGGGCTAGGTTGAACTGTACATCTTCCCCGACTGGAGGTGAACGAGGGCGATGCCGTTCTGGGGGATAACGAGGTGCTCTCGCACCTGACAGCAGCTTATCGGAGGATGGCAGGGGAGGAGGACGAGAGCGTAGGTTTTCTGACCAGTTAAGGGGGGTCAGGATGGAGGTGTGGCCTGATGGCATTCTGGCTTGGTGGAACCAGACATCTTCCGTGCCTGGAGACGAAAGATGGCGATGGTGTTCAAGTGCATGTGGAGACTCTGCACGATGGCGTCTAAGGCCCCCCGATCCTGAATGGCCCGAGAAGCGAGAGGAATGATGAGAGAATTCCTCGGATGAAGACACCGGATGCGGAGGCCAGGGGCTTTGATGAACTGGATGTTGCTCCACCGCTTGCAGGTTGTGCGGATGGTAAGAGCTTTGTACATGCTCTGGTGATCT